ACATTATGTTATCTCAGTACACAATACATTATGTTATCTCAGTACACAATACATTATGTTTTCTCAGTACACAATACATTATGTTACTCAGTACACAATGCATTATGTTACTCAGTACACAATACATTATGTTATCTCAGTACACAATACATTATGTTATCTCAGTACACAATACATTATGTAATCTCATTACACAATACATTATGTTATCTCAGTACACAATACATTATGTTAATGAGCTTCAGAAGCAAAGCTTTATGAGCTTGGTATAAGCTTTACCTCTGGGTTAACTTTGTCTACCATTTCTTAATCATTTGGTTACCATGGCAACATTTTGTTTGATATAACAGTTGTCATAGTAACAGACTACACAGAGAAGATCATCACAGTGCTTCATACCTGCCAACATTTCAATCGTAAGGAACAAACCATGTGGCATGATTTTAAATGTATAAAATTTCTTACCATGCCACATATTTGATTAAACTTAAGTGTAAATGTAATAGTTTAAACTGTTTCATGAAATGATTTTTTGAATTTGAGCAATTAATTCAAAAAGTCAGAAATTCAGATTATAGTGTCAGAAGTAAGGTTATAAAACAGGGAAGTATCTCTCCAGAATGGACACTTACATGGCAAGCATTGCTGGTATACTGATGTTGGCATGACACTGATTCTGTTGCAGCTTATATAAAAATTGCTTTTGAATATGATTTAAAATTCATTTGCAATAAAATAATATTTGTATTCATATTTGTAAAGACACAGTGTACTAAACACATATCAATAGAAACAACAGTGTATTTCTCCCTTCTGACCAAACTATCAAATTCTAAATTCTAAACATTACAAATGATAATATACAACATTTGATATAGCGCCCTATCTAGCTAACATAAGCCACTCTAAAACACTTTACAGTACATAGACAACAATTAATACAATTAGGATATACAATTTTTGAGGAATTCGCAGGAGCTGCCTTATCACGCGCTAACTACTAGTCCTATGCCACCTAGCTAATCTCTCCCTATGTGTGTATGCATGCGTGTGTGCTGGAGATGCTCAAGGATGAAATATCTGAGTCTCACTTTTAACAATAAAGGAAACAGAGTAATAGTAAAGATCTTTAGTTCTCATCTCCTGGGTGGGTTGTCAATTTTATACCATTACAGCTAATTTAGAGAAAATTTTAAAGAGTATAGTTATCTGAATCACCTACAGAATGTGTGCGGTGCACTAAAAACAGGCCACTGGGACCGTCATGCCTAAGTTAAATGTCAAAGAAGTATGAATCCTTCAGTCAGAACTTTAGAAGTGTGTAATTTTCAATTTACAATCTTGTATTTAAAAAAAAATCAAAAAATCACAGCATTACTGATAACCGTTCCAAATCTTCAAACTCCCTAAAAAGGCCCTCAATCAATACATATCTTAGTATAAATATAAAAAAAATAATAAAAACTGCAGAAAAATATGTATTTAATCCCTGTATAAAGTGGGAAATGTGATGGGACTCTCTACCATAACCATGTAACATGAATACATCCTTTGTTTGGAAGTGATGGTGTAGGAGTACACATACACACATACATACACAGTACTTACATATTTGCTATTGTGTGTTTGAACTTTGACCTTTCAGCATTATCGGCCTGTACCTCACATTCATCCTTTTGATTGGTCGGATCCTGAGGTTGAGTACGACCGGATTGGTTGAGCTGATTATGTACAGAGAGCTTCCCTACGTGGACAATGTCATACAGCTGTGTCTGGACCTCTACCTAGTGCGAGAGATGAGGGAATACCGCCTTGAGGAAGATCTTTATGCCAAACTTCTCTTCGTGTTCCGGTCATCAGAAACACGCATTACTTGGACTCAGTTACCACGGCGACTAATAGTCACCCATGACAAGAAAAATGATTAATATGATTAATTATTTAGTATAGAACTGTTTTTATGCATTTAAAGATGTTTTTTGTAACCATGCTTATCTGTGTTTTATTGTAAAAATGCATTGTGAAATGTGACCAGTTGTATTGGTAACACATTCAAGCTTTAGATGTTTTTGTCCTCGATCACCTAAATCTAGTTATCTAAATCTATGGTAAGTTATTTTCTATGGAAAAGTGTTCAAAAACTGTCAGGGTACCATTAATTTTGTTGTATAATTATTCCAGCAAATATCAACTCCATTGATGTTGTTGATATGTCACATACATCAATTTCTTTTGGCTTTTATTAAGTTATTGTAAAAAAATAAAAATGTAGATGTAACGAAAAACATCTGACCATGTGTTGATGGTAGTTAATTTAATGTGTAGGTTGTTGACCTTCTGTAATGTAATCTCCTGCTGTAGAACAAGGACAGTAACAAGAAACAATGTTACGAGGAATAGATTCGGAGAGTTGTCTCCCCTGAATAGATTCGGAGAGTTGTCTCCCCTGAATAGATTCGGAGAGTTGTCTCCCCTGAATAGATTCGGAGAGTGGTCTCCCCTGAATAGATTCGGAGAGTGGTCTCCCCTGATTAGATTCGGAGAGTTGTCTCCCCTGAATAGATTCGGAGAGTTGTCTCCCCTGAATAGATTCGGAGAGTTGTCTCCCCTATATTGTTGAAATCATAGGTCTGTGATTAGAATGTTTTTCTCTGTAGATCTGTAGCTTGTTCATCATCAACTTTTATCAAGTTCAGTCTATAAGTGACCTGGATGGTTTGTAAAATTCCAAATTTTTCCACAATTCTCAGAACTTACCATATAAATAGGCTCTTTTTCCAAGTAAATCTGTACATTATGAAGAAGAAATGGGATGCTAGGTCAGAAAAAGGGTCGAGGGACTTTATTAGGTAAGAGGCGTTATAAGGTCAATTATGACATTTTGTAGTCATATATTTAATACTGTAGGGTACATTTTTTTTATACCTGTAACCTTTTGTGAAAAGAGAAAAAAGTACTCAATTTGAAAAAAAAAAAGACTCATAAAATTGGTACGTGTACTGAACCTTCACAGGAAAAGAGATAAAATTGTGTAAAGTGTGCTCTGTAGCTACATCGCTGCCAAGTGTATGCTAGCCTGGATCCCTGTGTGCTGAAATGAAATGGACTGATATTTTGTTAGAATATTATGTTATTTTCTGATCATCTGTGTATAATTCAGCAATCTTTAAAGGCTATGGACATTTTATTTTTTTGTGAGAAAGAAAATCATTTATGTGTCAATTGTTATCTAAATAATGAATGTTTTATCTTCTTAATGTTTTGATTGAAAAAGAAATAATTTATGACATCTGTTTTTATCTCATATTGATGTACGTATATGCCGAATTCCTGTTGATAATCTTCCTGTTGATAATCTCGTGTGCTGACTTCCTGTTGATAATCTCGTGTTTGCTGACTTCCTGTTACAGTATCATTGGACTATATGTTTCCTTGGTGATGCTGATTGGTCGCTTTGTTAGGACGTTGTTCAGTGGTCAGTCTGAGCGAATTATGTTCGAGGAACAGCCGAATGTGGACAATATTTTAAACCTGTGTCTTGACATCTACATGGTGAGGGAAAGTCTCAACTTTAGGATGGAAGAAGACCTGTTCGCCAAGCTTCTCTTCCTATACCGCTCACCCAAAACTATGATCATGTGGACAAAGCACAAGGTCGACTGAAGGTCAATCACAAGGTTAAAGGTTGAGCAGTGTAAGGTCAAATAGAGGTCACAATGGTCAGAGGTTGTGTAGAATAATTTTCAGCATGTATTATAAGGAGAGCAACTAAAGGTCTAACATTAATACCACACATAGTTTTTAGTGTGTTTTAAACTGGCATCATGTTTTAAAGTCCCCAACACTGATATACAGTGTTATCTGTATCACAAGAATAACCAGAAGAAGGCTGACTATCACCAGAGTTGGTCTCAGTATATTTTTAAATCTTTTTGAGAGAATTATTTGATAGGGGTGATCTCTCTAGCAGATTTGATAATATAAATAGGATGTAAAAAAGTGTCTATATACATGCAGAGGTTCCTCAATGCGAGGAGTGGTTGATAATCATGTTTATCTGCCTCAAGTTCGTGAATTTTAAAATTTGATCTTCTTTAGTTATCCAATCCTCCTTCAATCATTTGAAGATTATAAAGACACAGAGTTTATTGAGCATCTTTTCCCAATTTGAAAATTAAGTAATAAGAGTTGGGTGAAAACAGTAACCAACACTAACGGGTGAGGGAGTCTCCTTTTACCCTACCCACCATGCTTGATTTTAAGTATGATTTGTGACATCATTCATCACCTGATGAAAACCGGAAAGAAATATCACTTGTTTAAGCCTACTTTGTCCTGGACACTTGTCTGGTTTTATAACCCTATGTTAACCTCCCCATACTGTTTAACTGTTACACAGTATTGTAGAAAAGTAGGGGTAATTATTTTTGATTTTAGGTTATTTTATGCTCTTGACAATGTATCAGAGCATTTCTTTTATAAAAAATAAGATAAAACTGAGCATTACTTCATAAGGCACAAGTTTGATGAAGAAGAAGTTAGATTTTGGAGAATTAAATGTGAGTTTGTACAACTTACTTCACTTTTTGGTATGAGAATTACTGCTACTGAAATTTTTAGGTCACCTGAGACAAAGTCTCAAGNTGCTAGTTTCAAATCCTTTTTAGTCTGAAATCTGTATGCTAGATATTGAGTAAGGTGGTTTTATTGTTTTTTGTCACTTTGAATAATATTTCTGTTCATGTTAAAAACAAAATCAACTCTCTGTATAAATATATCAGGTGACCGTTAAGGCCCATGGGCCTCTTGTTGATTTTATTTCAAGATTCAGGCATTTATACTGAGATTTGTTACCGTGAATAACATTTTAAACTTTTAAACTGGCAAAATCTAAATTGTGTAAATATTCATGTAGATGAAATACAAAAACATGGCAATTATTTAATAACGATGGTATTGTAACATTCCGTATTGGTATGTAGTAGTTTTAATTTTGTATTGTCAGTAGAATCACCCGTACAGCTACGATTGTTTAAAACATCAATAGATCAGTACAAAAATATATCTAGTCACCTGGTGTTTGGGTAAATGTTGACTACATCGCCAATACGACATCTTTAGTGCCTTTTTGAGACGAGACTGTTGTTTTGTTGTGCTTTATTATAATCTGTTATTTCTTGTCTTCCAGCAGCAATAATTAGTAAAGGTGTCAAAAAAAAGTTTATATGTAAAGGCATTTTTTCAGTATTCCATAATTTGATGTTATAGAATTCTGAATTTCATTCTTAGGTAATTGATTGTAATCTTTCACTGAAAATATTTATAATCAGATTTAAAATTCAAACTCCTTACTGTCATGGACAGTGAAACCTCATTATACTGCCAACACTTGTCCACAGAAATTATGGCATTATAAAGGGGTGTGGTGTTAAATTGAGGGAAATTATACATGAATTCTAAAAATAAAGAGACATTGAATTATGTTGGCAGTGAGATGGCAGTATAATGGCACTAATATGGCATTATATCAAGGTTTTACTCATTTGGGGAAAATTGAGCCATAAATTGTAATATAAAAATTTCTGAATTAAATACCTAATCTAAAAGTAATGTAATGTAATGGGTGTGGACCTGTATGTTTATATGTGTAGAATATTTAGATGTGTATAAATATAGAATATGACATTTTATTATGAGTGCTGTCTGTCAAACAGAGTCACTGTCAGACATTGTCAACTGTTTGCTTGTACTAACCAATTTTGCTCACCAAAAAGTGCAATTTCCGTGTAATTTATGTTGTACCGTATTGCTGTATTAGTAACTAGTAAGTTATTGTTGTAGTCAGCTCTGTTATAGAACTTGTGTTATACTTGTATGGGCAGCCGTAGGCGCTATTAAAAAGGTGAACTTTGCAAAATTGTTGAATTGTCCTGTATGAAAAAAAAACCCAACATTTTTCTATGTAATAGAAACAGTACTAATTTCCTTAAAGGATTTGTGCTAAAGTCAATCTCCAATGAGAGGTGCTGAAGTCAATCTCCAATGAGAGGTGCTGAAGTCTATCTCCAATGAGAGGTGCTGAAGTCAATCTCCAATGAGAGGTGCTGAAGTCTATCTCCAATGAGAGGTGTTGAAGTCAATCTCCAATGAGAGGTGCTGAAGACAATCTCCAATGAGAGGTGCTGAAGTCTATCTCCAATGTGAGGTGCTGAAGTCAATCTCCAATGAGAGGTGCTGAAGTCTATCTCCAGTGAGAGGTGCTGAAGTCAATCTCCAATGAGAGGTGCTGAAGTCTATCTACAATGAGAAGTGCTGAAGTCAATCTACAATGAGAGGTGCTGAAGTCACTCTACAATGAGAGGTGCTGAAGTCTATCTCCAATGAGAAGTGCTGAAGTCACTCTACAATGAGAGGTGCTGAAGTCACTCTACAATGAGATGTGCTGAAGTCAATCTACAATGAGAGGTGCTGAAGTCTATCTCAAATGAGAGGTGCTGAAGTCAATCTCCAATGAGAGGTGCTGAAGTCACTCTACAATGAGAGGTGCTGAAGTCTATCTCCAATGAGAGGTGCTGAAGTCAATCTCCAATGAGAAGTGCTGAAGTCAATCTCCAATGAGAGGTGCTGAAGTCTATCTCCAATGAGAAGTGCTGAAGTCAATCTCCAATGAGAGGTGCTGAAGTCAATCTCCAATGAGAGGTGCTGAAACTGGCACAAATAAAACAAAGCTTGTAAGATGTATAATTATGTAAGGGAACTCCTTCGAGCTACATCTCTTAGGAAAGTGAACTGTTGGAATGCTACGTAACTTTTCTTTATACATGTACGATAGGTAAGTGATGTTTGTTCCTGTGTAAATAGTTACAATTGTGATGTTTGTTGTTGACCCCTCCAAAAGCCCCCAACGAAGAACTAGCTGCGGTATTTGTAGCTTATTGTCTGATATTTAGTGTATGTGTTTATTTGTAGCTTATTGTCCGACATATAGTGTATGTTTATTTGTAGCTTATTGTCCGATATGTAGTGTATGTTTATATTTTAAAAACAGTTTATGTCATCGGTCATTGAGTCATGGTATCAAGATTGGAATGAGGTCACTAAACTTTGTAATTATCCACCACACATCACGTATGTTACCCCGTTATATTCTATGCACGCATGTCTACGATTCCTTGTGCATGTACATATATCTGAAAAAAATGGACTTATAACAATTCCTGTCACTTTGATCATTAATTGTGGACGGGAAATACGATTCTTTGTTTCCTTCATGTTCCACAAGGACAAAGCTCGAGGGAAACATAATTAATTGAGGGGAAACAAAGAATCATGTTTCCTCACTGAAAGGTCAATAGAAATAGACAAACTACACAATGATGAGGATGATCAGACTTCCACGCCATTGTTGTTGTCTGGTTCAGTCACTCGGAACTCCAGTGGGCCGACTCTTGCTCATTTCTCTTGAGAGGCTCGGAATATGGAAACATTGCCGGGAAACTCGAATGCGCGAGGGGTTTACAATGTTTTATTTCCCCTTCATGTGCTCAATATAATCTGATCAGACACCTTAATTGTTTTAAAGATAAAGTATAAAATTAATCCAATGTAATTTATCTGTGTTCTGCCGTCGTTGGTGGTCATTTTGTAAGCTCTGAATTAATTTATGAATAAAAATTACAGTAACTACACTATGTGGATATTATGGAGGAATGCCAACATATGTATGTTTACATGCAAGTGTCCTACAAAATAGGATGGTGTCGATATGTATATGGGAAAATCAAGATGCAGGGTTTGTTCAGAGACCTCATCCCAGGACCCTGAAGCACAAGATTTTAATAATCTGGATACTGTAGCTTCATGACCAAGGACAAAAATACTTCAAATATAAATAGATCTAACAATGAACCACTGTTCCCACAGCTAGTGAAAAAGACTTTACAAAACCCACTGATTTTGGCAATTTTAAGATTACAAAGCAATGTACATGTATACAGGTACCTGTTCATTCATTTGCCAATGATTCCGATCCTGCACACGGTCTGGTCCAGTCATTTAAAATAAATATAGCTATTTATAATTACAGTAGTGTTGGAGTTTTTTGTTGGGAAGAGAGTTGGTACCATGCGTCGACAGAAGTTCATCTTTGAGTTCATCATCATTCCTCATTGAATATACTAGATTTTACAGACTGTCCGCTGGCTTGGATTCTACGGAAGTATGTACCCAGCTGGCATGGGTTCTATGGAAGTATGTCCCAACTAGGTTGCTTTTGAACCTGAACTTCCTTTTAAAGATGTTAAGGGTTATTGTGAACATGGACTATGACGCTATGTATATATAGCCCGAGTTTCCTCTGGCCCTGACACCAGACCTGGACATTATAACATATAGATGTCTGGTGTGGACTATCTATATGTCGAAATGTCGAAGTCTGGTGTTAGGGCCAGAGGAAAACTCGGGCTACTACCGGGGGTAGGTAGAGGGAAATATGTATCCTTTCCAAAGATTCACCATACAGTGGTCATTCCCTTGAATCATCCCAAAGATGATGTCTTACGCTGATGATGACACATAAACTGTCTTCACAGACAATAATCTCAAATTGGGGTTTCTTCATGTTAGATAAAGGTTACATAAAATGCATATTCCAATGCAAGAAGTATAATATTTGAGAGAGTAAGAAGAGGCCGATGGGCCTTGAATCATTTACCTGACCATATAAATTGTGAAAACCAAGCCGAAATCAGTAAGTTGTGGTGAGAGCCCCCCAGGAGTGCAGGCGCCCAATTTGATAAAACAAGAGGCCCATGGGCCTTAACGGTCACCTGATATATTTATACAGAGAGTTGATTTTGTTTCTAACACGAACAGAAATATTATTCAGTGACAAAAAACAATAAAACCACCTTATTCAATATCTAGCATACAGATTTAGGACTAAAAAGTATATGAAACTAGCACCTCTGATTCCAAACAAGGCGGAAAATGAAGAAATTTTAGCACACTGACTCCTTTGGGCCCCACCCTACAGCCCTTGGGGGTAGGGCTGGCTCAAAATGTTCAAAGTATCAAACTGTCAACTCAGGGTTATAATTCCAATCAAGTTATTAACATGCAATATTCAAAGTATCATTTGCCATTATAAACCATAATAAATTTTGCGCCCCCCTCCTTCCCCAGGGGGTAAACGTGAGACCCTAGGGTCATAAACCTTAAGACCCTTTCATCTATGAAGAGTGTTTGATTCTAACATATCTGGGACTTTGAGTAGATTTTTTTTTGAAATTTCAGTCAATTCAATCCTTTTTGGCCCCACCCATCACCTGCTATCCAATACTGATAATGCTAACCCAAATTGAATTACTTCCAATGAAAATTAAACAAATGTTGGTCCAAAATGTGATTTCCCTATATAAACTATAGTAAAGTTTACCCCCTCCCAAGGGGGAAACGTGATACCCAAGGGTCATGAAATTCACAATTTTGGTAGAGCACCTTAAGACCCTTCCATCTATGAAGAGTGTTTGATTCTACCATATCTGGGTCTTAGTAGATTTTTGAAATTTTAGTCAATTTGACCCTGGGGGCCGCTTAAGACCCCGGCAACTATTTTTGTTGACCTTTGGCCATGGAAGGTTTCTGCAAAATTTCATTGAAATTGGTTCGGGGGTTTTGGAGAAGAAGTCTAAAATGTAAATTGTTTACAGACGCACGACGGATGACGACGGACAAAAGGCGATCACAATAGGTCACTTGAGACTTTGTCTCAGGTGACCTAAAAACAATCAGTCACTTTGACTCCTTTAACTCTAAGTTCAGAAGGATCAGCCACTTGTATAACTTTTCATCCCCATGGACTAGGCATGTTATCATTAAAATTTGGTTGATTTGAGGATTCAATTCAAATTAGCCAATTTTAACAAACCCTTCTGCCCCCAAGAGGGTCAGTCCCTTCATTTGTGTAACTTTTGATTACCATGGGAAAAGCATGTTGCCGATACAATTTGGTTGAATTCTGCTCCGTAGTTTTGGAGATGTCATTTAAAGCAAACAATCATAGGCATCAGAAGAAGCACCACCACATAAGCCGACCCTGGCACTTGGTACTGGTTGAACTAAGCACCACCACATAAGCCGACCCTGGCACTTGGTACTGGTTGAGCTAAGCACCACCACATAAGCCGATCCTAGCACTTGGTACTGGTTGAGCTAAGCACCACCACATAAGCTGACCCTGGTACTTGGTACTGGTTGAGCTAAGCACCAGATGTTTCAAGCCCATTGGGCCTTTTGTTTATGGCCTGTACAAGTGAATAACTATCTAATATGATCACATAACCCCTTCATGGGTTTCAGGTTTGACATTTTCTGAAAAAATTTCATCAAATGTTGAAGTCATTTTACATTATGTCTCAACCTGTATTCAAAGACCATCTTCAAGAAGTCAGTCAGCTGATCTAGTGTTGCTGGCGGTATGGTAATATATAGGTTCAGTTTAACATGAAAATAATGGCGATGTGGAGTTTTTAAAGTGGGCTCTTTACACAGGCATACTTTCCAACTTGTATTGTTTCAGAGGGAGACTCCTCGATTTTAAACCCAAAAAATGAACTTTTTTAACCAATGAATCTGTTAAAACTTTTCCTACTTTCTAATATCTGATGATTTCATCTGAAAGAATAGTTCAAAAGATGCCATTTTACAGTGTTATTGTGTCTCAAGGTGTTAACACATATTTATTGATGTTTTTAACTTTAATCACGCCTCATCTCCCCTATAGAAATTTCAAAAAGTTGGCAAGTATGACTAGTCAGATGATATCTTGAGCAGGTTTCACTGGACAGTAAAAAAAACACAGACATTCTGACGTTTATGCATAATTTTATTTTTGTTATTTTGACATTGTAATAATGTAATAACAAGTAAATATTGCCTTAGTGTTTATTCCCAACAGACATGAATAAATGTAACAGAAAAAAAACCTAGCACTCGACACATTCCATCTAATACCAGGAATATATAACTTTACATAGACTAGTTCATTAACTGGGATAATTCCCATGGGCAGTTGACCCCTGACCTAGTTATGACCTTTAGGTAGGAGGTCAAAAAGGCATTTAGTGTCTTATAAGAAAGCAAATATAGATTTATAGATTACAAAATACCAATTGGATTTTTTTGTATGAACAAAATTTTTCCATACTCAAATATATCTTGTCTTAGGTGAGAATCTAATGTATGTGAGGTTATTAAATATTAATAGAACTTCACATAAATTTATCATTTTTTCACAAAATGTTACATATACCTTAATCACCACAAATTACATCCAGAACCTTCATACATGTAACAAGGTCACTTTTTATTCCAAGTGTCACCAACTACAGAATACATATTTCCACAAGAAACACGACAAATATGTCAGATAAAATGTATTGTGTAGATAAAATAGTTTGGCAGTTAATGATTCAATCTAGTTACAGCTATGTTAGCACCACAAAGATCAGTGTTGACCACCGCGAGTGGTCAGTGGGGCTACAGTGTTGACCACCGTCAGTGGTCAGTAGGGCTACAGGAGGGAGATATATACTCTATACAACTATACAATCAACAAACTGTCACTTCAAACCTCAAATAATGGGAACTTGTCTAATGTTTAAATGATGTATTAGTTCGAATTTCACTTCAGGATTTTCTTCCATCAAAACACCGATAAATTATCAAAATCTGGATGAATTTACATTCCTAACTTCTTGAACAAATTTGCATTAAATGAACATCAATATTTTCTATTTCTTTACAAAATGTCATAAATATCTTAAGTAATTTCATATCTGAAAACTTTTAATAACAAGAAGACAACTATATTCAGGAAATATGGTTTTCGGCTTAATGTGACATTCTGTTGCTTTTGTGCACTAAATATTTCTAAAATAAAAACCTATGATACAAGGGCAAAATTTAAAGTATTTACCAATCAGCCCACAAATATAGTTATATATAACATTTCAATTAAGTTCCTAGTAATTAGCAGATACAGCTATGTAACAATAGACAAGCATCCAAGACAGGTACACAGGTATATTACGGTTCTCACCGACAGGTACACAGGTTTATTACGGTTCTCACCGACAGGGACACGGGTATATTACGGTTCTAACCGACAGGTACACGGGTATATTACGGTTCTCACCGACAGGTACACGGGTATATTACAGTTCTCACCCACCGACAGGTACACAGGTTTATTACGGTTCTCACCGACAGGTACACAGGTATATTACGGTTCTCACCGACAGGTACACGGGTATATTACGGTTCTCACCGACAGGTACACAGGTACATAGGTATATTACGGTTCTCACCGACAGGTACACAGGTATATTACGGTTCTCACCGACAGGTACATGGGTATATTACGGTTCTCACCGACAGGTACACAGGTATATTACGGTTCTCACAGACAGGTACACAGGTGTATATACGGTTCTCACAGACCGGTACATAGGTATGACTACTGGTGTATACAAATCTCACAGACAGGTACACAGGTGTATATACGGTTCTCACAGACAGGTACACAGGTATCACTACTGGTGTACACAAATCTCACAGACAGGTACACAGGTGTTTATACGGTTCTCACAGACAGGTACACAGGTATATACGGTTCTCACAGACAGGTATGACTACTGGTGTACACGAATCTCATTGACAGGTACACAGGTGTGTATATACGGTTCTCACAGACAGGTACACAGGTATGACTACTGGTGTACACAAATCTCACAGACAGGTACACAGGTGTATATACGGTTCTCACAGAGAGGTACACAGGTGTGACTACTGGTGTACACAAATCTCACAGACAGGTACACAGGTGTATATACGGTTCTCACAGACAGGTACACAGGTATATACGGTTCTCACAGACAGGTACACAGGTATGACTACTGGTGTACACAAATCTCACAGACTGGTACACAGGTGAATATACGGTTCTCACAGACAGGTACACAGGTATGACTACTGGTGTACACAAATCTCACAGACTGGTACACAGGTGTATATACGGTTCTCACAGACAGGCACACAGGTATCACTACTGGTGTACACAAATCTCACAGACTGGTACACAGGTGAATATACGGTTCTCACAGACAGGTACACAGGTATCACTACTGGTGTACACAAATCTCACAGACAGGTAAACAGGTGTGTATATACGGTTCTCACAGACAGGTACACAGGTATATACGGTTCTCACAGACAGGTACACAGGTGTGTATATACGGTTCTCACAGACAGATACACAGGTGTGACTACAGGTATGTAATGATTCTCTCACACAACTAGGTAACCGTAACTAGGTAACCGTAACTAGGTAACCGTAACATTCTATAATGGAAAGTTACTCTGGCAATGGAATCATATGGCAACAAGTACAAAATATATGGAATGTATATTAATTCCTGATTGTAAAAGATTTGTTTAACAAACAAAAAACATAGCAACCAGAAACCTTGTAAATCAAACCGAACTAGGAAAGACTTGTTAATTTTTTAAAGCACATGTGGCGTCTAATTCATTTCTCTGTTGATCGTATATATTGTTTTCAAATATTTACTGACATTTATAAAAGGCACTGTAGGCATACAACTATGTATTTAACTCATTCACCCCTGAAGACACATTTGAACTCTTCCAATGCAAAGGTTGGAATAGTTCATTATGAAATTTCGGGGGTGAATGAGTTAATTTTCTTTGCAAATTGGAAGACTTCATGGAAATATCAATGAAAATTAAACTATCGGCACATTTTTACTCAATCTGGTTTTGGATGTAATTCTGCGTCTTTCAAAGTGACAAATATATTTCATTTGTATAGCAATAATCTCAAATTAACTAAATCTACTTAAGACCACCAAGTGAATAGTATAACTATTTTCAAGAACATATTTTCGTTGAGTACATGTAAAATTGGAAAACATTTTTTTTCAATCTCTTGCATAGTGTTGTCGTCAATAAATTCAAAAATACAAAGTGGAATGTGAACGAGCTGACCTGTATATATTGTGTCAAATACAACAAGTATCTTAAAGTACAACAGGTATCGTTGTCAAGTACAACAGGAGTTGTCGTGTGAAGTACAACAGGAGTTGTCGTGTGAAGTACAACAGGAGTTGTCGTGTGAAGTACAACAGGTATCGTTGTCATATACTGGTATTGGTGACCGTACCAGACATAAAACAACATACTGTAATGCCAAAATAGCCAGAAAAGTGAGGCACATCAATACATCGGGTGTATTCACAACATTTTCAAATATTTGATCAAAATTATATACATAAATTCAAAGGACATCTACACAATTGAACTGGATTTCAGTCGACATTCAAATTCATTCTAAAACATAATCATTATGGCCTCTATATAAATATTTAAAAACAAATTCAGAAAAATATAATCAACATTGCACTTGTTTCTTGTGTTCGAATGGTCACCAACGAATGTTCCTTTGTAAAAGAACAATAAGATACGGGTAGGTAGCAGTATAATATTTACAGTTTGTATAAACTAAAGCAGAATATCAAACCTACATTGGTCTGAACATTGTTCTCAAATAGTAAAAAAAGGTTTGGAAATTGCATTAACCAGGCTACATCTGTTAAAAATAAAATATGAAGCATATATAAAAGCAGTATAGGGGGAAATGAAGAAAAACGGGACAATATATTACAAAAATTATTTGAGGCATTGTGTGTGTTCTGGCAAATAATTGTACAAATATTCCTAAAAATGAATGGTTCCAAAAACTTGTGAAAATGGAAATATAACAATGCTACAACACTTGTTCTACAGTATAACAACATGGTCAGCCCCGACATCAGACTGTACTAGCAAGGCAGGGATAAAACCCCTTATAGAGCATACCAGTACTGAAAGACTTTTGTATAGGCCTCATAAATACCAAAATATTGCAGGGTTGAATGGAACTGATGAAAATTACAATGTCACCAGAACACTATTTATTGGACAGTGTTGGCAAAATACCACAGCAGACTGAACACACAGGCGAATCCACGGAGTTATCTCCCTTGGACTGGCAAGAAAGGTTTCCCTGCAGCACCACCGTCAACACTTGGCCAAAACAGTACAATTGTCTCCCTTTGATTGCACAGCTTTTCTCTTGGGAATGTTTTCAGCAGATATGACTTGTCGATAGTGTCTCTATCACATAAACTAACAATCTATAACACACAAAACATGGGGTCAAAGTTCAGGCTGAGGCACAAGGAGTTAGTGTTATTCCTTCCATGTTTCACATCATAGCCTTAATCTGCAGAACTCCTGCAGATATGTTTTATCAAATTTTCTAGTCCACACGTTAGTGGTGTAAGTGTTTCTCAGTCTTAGTCTACATGCTAGCAGTATAAAAGTTTCTACACGTTAGTCTTCCCTTCCTTGTGACCTAAGGCACTAAGACTTTACACAGATCATAAGGCACCTAGACATAACACAGGATATTACGGCACTAAGACTTTACACAGATCATAAGGCACCTAGACTTAACACAGGATATTACGGCACTAAGACTTAACACAGGATATTACGGCACTAAGACTTAACACAGGATATTAAGGCACTCTGACGATAGGCACATCTAATGTCATACGTACAGTTATACAGAGAATATTGTCGGGTTACTAGTATTTCGTTCCTATAAGATGCTGGCGCTCGTGTTGAAGCATCAAGTTTTTGCCTTCAAACTCTCGTTCACAGTACTGACACACATAAACTTTTGTGCGGTTCTTTTCCTTTGGGGCCTTCATTTTGTCAGCGTCATCTGTCAGCATCATCTTCTTCTCTCCTAGCTGACCAGGAGGTGATGTTGTAGTGGAATCCGGCTCACCGGCAGTTTCTGTGTCATGAACTTTCCTAAAACTCACAACAGGAACTTCTGGTCGTTCTAGAGATTTGTCACCATTTTTGGATTGTTTTTCCAGAATGGATTTGACAACATCCCTGTCAACTTTGGTGCTGGGGAGATGGAGCTGGATGTGGTCCACCAACTGGAACTCCTCGGGACAGCTGTAGTCACAGTAAGGACAGGCGTACTTATAGTGGATGTTGTGTTGGTGTTCGTGGTCGGCTAACTCGTCCTTAGAGGGCGTACCATATGGACAACGTTCACACTTCAAGTCATCAGCCGCATCGCCAAGACTGTCGTCATCCGAATCAATATCGTTTTCTGGCGAGTTGAAATACAGCTGGGGAGCAATTCTGTCGGGACTGGACGTTTCAAAATTCTTCATATCCATCTGATTAAGTAAAGGCGAGGAGCAGCCAGACTCGTCGGTGAGATGGACCTTCTGATGCTGCTGCAGACTTGACTGTTTATCTACACTGTAGTCACAGAACTTGCAAGCAAATTCCTTGCCTGCTCCGTGGAGCTGTAGATGTACCTCTAGGAGCTGTGAGTTCGGGTTGAGATACGGACATTTCGGACATCGGTTCTGACCTCGTCCAAATGAGTCAGTCTCTGCATGGAGTCTCATATGCTGGGACAGGAGATTCCAGCGATCCACGCTGTAGGAACATTCAGAACACTGGTAGCGTGCCTTGATGCGATGAAGATTTTTGTGATAGTCAAAGCTGTTCTTGTTGTTACATGTGAATGGACACTGCTTGCAGGTGTAGACCTTCTTTCCACTAAAATTGCGGTTGAACATTCGGCGTGGGTCGTTCTTCTCCAACTCCTGTGGTACAGTATTGTTGTTGTTGTTGTTGACAATTCTCAGGGGAGGAATCATCTCCATAATGTTGTTAGCTATTTTATCGTTGGATTCAAGAGCGAAGTCACGGTTGAGAAAGACTATATCCTCCTGATTAAGGACAAATCCCTGCTCCTCAATATGAACCTTTCTGTGCTGGTACAGCAGGTTGAGTCGGTCCGCACTCCAGTTACAGAAGTCGCAGATGTATTTCTTGTTGAGTCCGTGCATGTGGATATGACATTTGAAGCTGCGCAGAGCATTACATTTGTACGGACACAGGGAGCAGTTGTAGCGAATTTTCTCCCCGTTTGTGACAGTAGCCGACATATTGAGCGAGATCTGCTCCTGTAGTGCTGATGGGTCGATTTCCGACAGACTATCATCTGAAGCATTGCTCACTGTCTCTACGTCCTGTCCCTCTTTCGCTGAATCATCCTTCACCAGACTCGACTCCATTTTCGAATTATTTATCCCTTCAAATTCTGCTCTCTCTAAAGCAGCCATTTCCTCCTCGTCAAAATCCTCAATATTCTCATCTCGAGGTCCGAATTCCATTTCATCTAAAGCTTCATCCTCAAAATCTTTCTGTTCCTCCTGAGATAGGCTAGTCCTCTCTGTGATCTTGTTATCGAGAGCTTCAATGTTTTTAAGCAGATTACAGCCTTCCTTGTCGAATGGGTCGAGGATGACGTCCTGGAAGGTGCCCCCAGTTTTAGGTGTGCCTTCCTGTGCCTTGACCATCTCCTCCTCCTCTTCCTTGTGGAACTTCATGTGTTGAGTCAAAAGGAATGCCCTAGTGGCACTGTAATCACACATCTGACACGCATACTGGCTCTTGACAAGGTGCTGACGCCTGTGTTTGATGATGTTGTTCTTACAGAAGCTAAAGTATGGACACCTTGCACACTTGTATCGAAGCCTCTCCCCGTTCTTTTTCATTCTGTTTACGATGTTTTTGAGGAACTGTTGAGTGAGTTTGTGCGTGGGAACCATCGCCTCTATCTCCATGTCACTCTCCATGTTGGCCTTACTAGCCTTCTGCTGCTGGCGTTTCTGGTGCTCCCGGTACATGTTGTATTCCTCGGAATTGGCGTCGTCCTCAAAGTCCTCGAGAATCTCTGGTTCGTACGGTTCACGATGAACAATGAGGTGTTTGACTAGTTCGGTTTGGCTATCCACGCTGTAGTCGCAGTACTGACAACTTAGTTGACCTTTATACTCGTGCCGGTCCTGATGCTGTTGGATACTTTCCAAAGAGTTGGTCTTAAACGGACATTTGGTACACCCCGCTAGCTGTACAGTAGAAGTCCTGTTGTTTCTATTGGAGAATCCCTCCTCACCCCAGGTCAGCGAGTTGTTGTTCTCCTCCGGCAGATACTCATACTCTACAGTGAATGGCAGCTTGCCTCCTGACTTCTCCAAAAAGTTTGGCTCAGAGGGATGAACCGACTGCATGTGGTGGTAGATAAGTTTAAGGTTGTCCACGCTGTAGTCACATTGCTCACATTTGTACTTTCTGTTGGAGCCGTGCTGCCGGACATGGTTGGTCGTATTGGCTGCGTTGCTGCTGACGTAGGAACACTTGGGACATTTGTAGTTCTTGCGTCCATTAATGGTACACACCTGTACAGGAATGCCCCGCCAAGTTGTCTCCTCCTTCAATACCATGACCGGCTTGTTCTCCTCCTTAGACGCCATCATACTGAAGTCAGTACTGGTCATAGAGGAGTTCAGACTGTCATCCCCTCCACTACCCTTCATGTCCCCAAACTCGTCCATAACACCCTCAAAGCCATTATGCATGCTGTCAAAAGAGTGATCCATGCTCTGATACATCTTCTGTCGGCTGTCCTGTCGTGTACCGTTGGAAGTGAGGTTGATTTTCTCCTCAGGCGTGCCCCTCCAGAGGTCGCTGTGCGTGCCCTTCATGTGCTGGTAGAGCAGATTCAGCCGGTCTATACTGTAGTCACAGAAACGACAGGTGTGACGACAATTGCTGCCGTGGCGTTCGATGTGTCTGAGATAAGTGACAGCGTTGGGAGCAGTGAAGGAGCATTTGGTACACTGGAATGATCGGCCTCGCTTGTGAGGACTAGTCGATTTTTTGGCCTTCAGTTGCTGAAGCATGTGTTGCTGGGCCCGCTGTTGAGGAGACGGAGTGCTAGGGAGACTGCTGGGAAGGCTCCTCGGCTGTGAAGGTGTAACAGATGATGCTGATGGACCCGACATTGCCACCTTGTTGGATATTTCTTGGAGTCTCTGGTGGAGCACTGACTGGTTTAACGTCACTGGCACTGTAGGTTTTGGAATAATCGACGTTACTGGCACTGTAGGTTTTGGAATGTTTTGTATATTTGGTTGCTGTAGCTGTTGTTGTTGCTGATGGGGTTTTGGCTCAATAGGGCGGTAACGAGGTTGTTGGACGAAAGTTTGGTTGAACAGCCGCGAGTGCAACTGGCGTGGTGCATGTTGTTGTGTAGCTGGTGCCTGCGTGTGAGCCTGGACAGAACTGGCTTGTTGTGACTGAGAGTGACCTCCAAACAGGTTTTGCTGTTTCTCCACTTTGGCGCTGAATGCAGACATTGCATTACTAGCTGGGGTTTTAGTGGGCAGAGACATGGTTTCTCCCAACTCCTGGGCCCTCAGTTCAAACGGATGGGCTGTACGTGCGTGCTGGTACACAGTGACTACATTTGGAAACATTGCTGAGCACCATTCACAGGGGAAGCGGTTGTTTGGATTTCCTCGCCCAAAAATAGATGTGGGTTGTGGATTAGTGGCAGATGTTTGGGACATGGAGGTCAGGTCTAAGGCTCCGGCTGACAAATCAAGTCCCTCATTCTGATTTCCCTGAGAGATCTCATCCTGACCTGATGAAAAGTTGGTCGATTTTTCTGAGAGTTTTCCTGATCTATTTGAGAATTTTTCCATATATTCACGCTCCATATCTTCCTGCTCCATGTCGTCTATCACCAAACAATCCTCATTGTCATCATCCCTATTTCTAGAAGCAAAATCTTCGCTGAAATCACTCATGTCATCATCTTTGAGAAAGTCTTGGCATTCTTGGGCGTCAAACTCGGGATGGAGCCTCATGTGCTGTAGGACAAGGTTTTTGCTGTAGACATTGTAGTCGCAGTACAGACATATAAACGCCTCGCCTCCCCTCGGCTCGTGCATGGCTTCATGCAGAGAGAGTCCAGACCTCTTAAAGCAAGTGTAAGGACACTTGGAGCACTTGAACTGCTGGACTGGCTTACGTCTGTGTTTGAGATGGAGGGTACGATTGGATACCTGCTCAGGAGGTTGACCCTGAGAAGGTACAGCAGCACTGTGGCTCTTCTTATGTTGTAGGAAGGAAGACAAATCCTCGGCTTGAAACTCACATTGCTTACATCGAAGTTTAGCGGATGAGCCTCCATCTTCTTTTTTGGTGTCTCCGTGCATTTTGACATGGATGTCATACGAAGATTTTTTGTATGTGACATACTGACAACTGTCACACCTGTACAGGGTACGGTCCTCGTCATCATCATCTTCTTGCTCAAAGCTGGGTTTGGACAACTTGAACTTGTCCTGTAAGTACATCGGGGTGGTGTACTCTTGTTGGGCCTTGTGCTTGTTGCTGGCATTCACATCAAAGTGTTCATATGTTCGGATGTGCTTTTTCAGATCACACTTCCAGCGTGAGCTGTAACCACATATGGTACACGTGAATGGCTTGTTTTCGGAGTGAAGGACGGCATGTCGTCTGAGTTCTGCTGGGCTGTGGCCTATGAAGGGACACTCCAGGCAGTGGTACATACCCTGGTTGATTAAACTACGGAACACGGGCTGTCTGGGTTGGTTATCTGAGCTTTCGTCCTGGCTAAAGTCCTCCTCATAGTCCTGGTACTGTGCTGCCATGTCATAGTTTTTGTAGTAGGCCATTGCCTGTTTGGCCACTCCATTGGGAAGACTGTCCTCTTCTTCCTTCGAGTCCTCCAATGAAGAGTTCATTATGTAGTTGACAGGCTGAGGGGTCTGCTGCTGCAGATTTCCTTGTGGCATCACCGTCACATTTGGAGGTGGCATCTTCTTTATCTTGCTGGTGTCAATGACGTCACGGATGGTGCCACCTCCGCAACGCTTCAGATGTTTAACCACATCCCACTTCCACTTGCTCTTGTAGCTGCAGCGTGGGCAGTGATACGGTTTTTCATCAGAGTGGTTCTTCATATGCTGGGTAATCTCTGATGGCCATCGTGCCCGGTACTCACACCTGGGACACCTGTAGGGTAGCAGGATGTCGCTCGGTGTTACTTTTCCACTCTTGTCCATGGTCAGTTTACACTTTTCAGAAGGAGAAAGTGTTCCAGCCTCGAGTCGCTTCTTCATTATTTCAAGCATGGTATTTGTTTCATTGCTCATAGACATTGTGGAGTTAAACCCGAATCTGCTGCGGAATTCATCCTGGAAATCTTCTTCCTCTCCAGGTATAAGATCATGGATGTCCTTGAGAGCAGAGTTAGACCTGACACTGTTAAGGTGCAGGTGTTTCCTCATAAAGGCGTCCTGACTATCCTCCTTGTTGAGGCTGGACAGTGGTTCTGATGATGGACGCTCTTGACTTGCACCGTCCATACCTCCTGACATAATGTATCTGACATGTGAATTGTCATTCTGGCCATTCTGTAGCGGCAAATCAGTGTCCGACAGCCTCCGTTTCTTTTTGGCAGGCTCAATATCACCTTGCATGTGTGTAAATGGAATTTTGCGAATATTGTGGCTGCCAGCATCGAGTAGAGCTGCTGTGGTGCTGGACAACACCTGGCCACTAGAGATCTCGTACAAACTGGAAATGCTGTTGGGAGTTTCCGAGGATCGCTCAGAGGATGACAGTGGTGGACTTGTCTCTATCCCTGGCTTGCTGCTGTTACCCGAGACGGATCCACCACCACCACCTTGCTCACGACGTTTATAGGGATTAGGAAGTGTGCTGTGGCTCTTCTCGAAATGTTTCACCAGATCCCATTTCCACTTGTAGGTGGATCCACATACCATGCACACGAATGGTCGCTCCTCAGAGTGGGACACAGCATGCTTCTGTAATTCTGCAGGCCATTTTGCCACAAAGCTACACATACTGCATTTGAGGAATTTGGGTTCTCCATTCCCGATTTCCTGAGATGACATTGAACCTATGGCATTGAGTGGCATCTTAAGTAGGTGATAGGTTTGCTGTAGGCCATGGGGTATTTTCTGTATGGCTTCTTTATGTTCGTGAATTTTATCAGAATGTTCTTCAGCAAAATGTTTGTTCAATTCATCCACTCCGTTAAAATGTTCCTGACATTCAGCACATTTGAAAGCCCGTTTGTTCAAATGTAGAGTCATGTGTGAACTGTAGTCGACAAGAGTTTTGGCAACAAATCCGCACCTAGAGCACTGAAGAATGGGCACACTCTCCTGCTTTTGAATTGCTAAAGGCAAACGCATCTTGTTTGGCATGTTGGAATCATTTCCATTTTCTTCCATATACTCATTCCACTGTGGCTCTGATTTGATTTTGGTGTACGATTCCACTGAATGGCTAATATTTCTGTTGACGTCAAGCTCCTTCTTGACAGAGAAGTCCAAAGGCTGCTCCCTCTGGCGTGGCCCAGAGGATGCTCTGTTTTCATCTTGACCACCTGTTTGTGGAGAACGACGGACTTTGTCCCCCTGAAGTGCTTCCATTATAGCATGACCGGGCCCCTTATTGGCAGGGTATGAAGTAGTGTTTGTGATGAAAGGACCAATGAACTTTGGCATGACCACAGAGGAGGCTGAAGGCATTGGCATATCCTCCCGAGGTTCTGAGTGTATAGGGTATCCGTGTAGACTCTGGGGGGTAGCCGTGTTAGAGCGCCCGCCCTTATGGCTGCCCACAGATGGGGAGACAGACATTCGCCCGTTGTTTTCATAAGAGCTGGGGACCCTGTATTTGACGTGACTAATAGTGTTGAGCTTGACAAGACCAGTCGGTGGTCGACCGGTATCGGGAAGATCCCCAAAGTGCTTCTCCTTCCAATGCTTGTTGAGAGATTTACGCCACTTGTAGACATTGCCACATTTGGAACAGGCATATTTGACTCCCGTTTCATCCAAAACTTCAAAGTATTTGGCAGGGTCAACTTCTTGTCTAGTTTTACGCTTTTTCTTTTCACCTTGTACAATTTCACAGATGTTATTATCAGGAGCAACAGGGACAACTGTTTCTTCTTCCTCTTCCTCCTCATCGTACACCTCCTCCTCCTCCTCTTCCTCTCCTAACATGTGTTCCCTAATTTCCATGTCACGATCCTCGGTGTGGAAGCTCTTTTCCCCGAAGCTGCTGTCGAGGTCCGAGCCGCTCATCATTCCGCCATTTTCCTTCCCTGTAAAGTGTAACTTTCTGTGACGAGGAAGCTTCTGTTTATATTTTGTAGCGTATTCACAAATGTCACATTCATAGATAGTAATGTCAAGGCTATGACTGTCCTTTTGGTGATGCAGGAAAATCTTGGCACTAGTCGAGCTGAATTCACAGAGATTGCACACATACGTACGATTTTGTATATTACCACTTCGCGTGGGTTGTGTGACTACATGATTGGAATGTTTTGGCTCGTCTTCGGCAATTATCAGACGCCCCTCTTCGTCTTGGTCATCCCCCTCAGGGTTCAGGATGTACGTCTGTTCAGTGACCTTATCATCCATGTCCATATCCATCTCAAGGTCACTGGTATATTCAGCGTCTACTGTTTTTTCATTGGCTGTATTTCTGTCCAATCCAACCTCTTGTATATCCGACATAGAGTCAGAGGTTTCTATATCGTTACTTATAAAATTGTCCAACTTTTCTTTGAAATGTTCACCATCAGGGTTTGACGTTTTCTCTAACGGTGATGTGACTTCTAGTGATGAATGTGGAAACCTTTCACCTCTGTGAGTTAAAAGTTTTTCTGATGGTGATACTACTGTATCAGAAGATGAACTTGATCGAGTCAATGTTTTTTTTGTATGATGATTGTTCATAGAACTTTGACTTTTACGTCGACTCCCAAGAGAGGCCAACAGGTCTGGGTCACCGTCCTGTGAATGTGCATACACTTGATGATTCAGGAATTCCTTGGAGTCTGTACAGGTGAACTTGCAGGATTTACAGATTCGCACGCGTCCTCGTGTCTTTATATTCGATTCTGGTGTACATCCTCCTTCATCATCTCGGTCGTCGGCCATATTTGCTTTCCCTCAGATTTGTTCTGGAGCTCGCTGGAGGTGGCCTGGAATATACAAAAGAGAACAAGACATTACTCACAGGGTATACACATGGGTTTTAACGTGTTTATCTTACTCAATTTAGTAAACTTGGGTTTACCGACTGTCTTTTCAAAATTAACTAATATGGGTTAAATAAACGTAACAACTAGCTATATTGACTTAGGGACTTTTCCCTACGATTTCCCTACCATAACATTCATATATCTTTTCTAAAACATTTGCAAAATAAAAGCTAGACATGTTTGTATGTTTCTCTTATTCTCTTATTCCTGTTTTTTCAATCAGGAAAGCAATTGACATCAATATGATGCCACAACGTAATATGCCAACACAAAGCATTTGTACGTGACATCATAAAAGACTGACCAATGAAATCATATGTAGGATGTTAACCACCAAATATGTTTACCAACTCCTAGCAAGTTTATCAGATGAGTGGGAGTGAGGAAACTAGGGTGGTTTTATCAAATTATGAATCAACATGGCTAAAATATGTGAAAAGTATTTTTGAAGAATGCAGTCTGATACATATATTTAATAGTCAAGAGTTTCAAAGTATACATAAAAAAGTACCATATTTTATAAACTAAAAGGAAAATTTATATCAAACTGGAGAAATGAAATATATACTTCTCCGAAAGGAACCAATTATAGGATATATATAAGTACGAACTTTGTTTAGAAAAGTACTTACTAGAACATGTAATACTAAGTTACCAATTGAAAGTGGTAGGTGGTTCAATATACCACGTGAAAATAGATTATGTAGTTTATGTTATTTAAGAGAAATTGGCGACGAATTTCATTATCTGTTTACATGTACACATCAACCAATTCTCAATAGTAGGCGAAAACATATATCCAGATATTATTATGAAAGACCAAACACATTTAAATATCATACATTATTCAATTATGTAACACAACATGAATTGACATCATTGGCTAAATTTATTACCAATATTAATGACATGATTAATTTACAATACTAATGTCCATCCTGTTCCACCATGTATAATTATTGCCACACATTTGTATATATGTTTTCTCTACACTGTATTGTTTATGAGAATAAAACAATTGTCATTGTCATGGTGGTTTTGGGAGAAGTTACAATGAATATAACACTAGTAATAGACAGTAAAATAACTCATATTGAAAGTATTAAGGGGGTAGGATGTCAAATGTAACGGGAACCTATCAAGTATTAAGGGGGTAGGATGTCAGATGTAACGGGAACCTATCAAGTATTAAGGGGGTAGGATGTCAGATGTAACGGGAACCTATCAAGTATTAAGGGGGTAGGATGTCAGATGTAACGGGAACCTATCAAGTATTAAGGGGGTAGGATGTCAGATGTAACGGGAACCTATCAAGTATTAAGGGGGTAGGATGTCAGATGTAACGGGAACCTATCAAGTATTAAGGGGGTAGGATGTCAGATGTAACGGGAACCTATCAAGTATTAAGGGGGTAGGATGTCAGATGTAACGGGAACCTATCAAGTATTAAGGGGGTAGGATGTCAGATGTAACGGGAACCTATCAAGTATTAAGGGGGTAGGATGTCAGATGTAACGGGAACCTATCAAGTATTAAGGGGGTAGGATGTCAGATGTAACGGGAACCTATCAAGTATTAAGGGGGTAGGATGTCAGATGTAACGGGAACCTATCAAGTATTAAGGGGGTAGGATGTCAGATGTAACGGGAACCTATCAAGTATTAAGGGGGTAGGATGTCAGATGTAACGGGAACCTATCAAGTATTAAGGGGTAGGATGTCAAATGTAACGGGAACCTATCAAGTGTAAAGGGAGCTGGGATGTCAGATGTAACGGGAACCTATCAAGTATTAAGGGGGTAGGATGTCAAATGTAACGGGAACCTATCAAGTGTAAAGGGAGCTGGAATGAGGGAAAGAGCTTGACAACTGTTGAGACAGGCTGCATGGCTGAATCTTAGACTTCTTCAGACTTTCACTAAAAACAACTGAGAAAAATTTTGAATTTCCCGAAAACAGTCATTTTACCTACAAAACAAGTCCTGGAAATGATTCCTACACAATTGCTGTACATGGAATATTTCACTGGACACACTAGTTTACAGTTGAACCGCTCGATTTAAATTGAACACAAGGGACAAAAAATCCAGGAAAATTATTATGAAAGAACCAAAATAACAATTGAATATTATATATTACCATTTATGTAGGACATAAGTAACAATGACCTCTGTAGACAATGTCATAAATACACAGTTCATGTTATAAAGTGTCCTTTATAAACAGCGTTTGCTATATTGTCCTTTGTGTTCACTAAAGACAGTGTTCACTAACTACAGTGTCCTTTATAAATAGTATTTACTATATGGACAGTGTTCACTATATACAGTGTCTACTAAAGACAGTGTTCACTATTCCATTTATACAGTGTAAACTTTAGATAGTTTGTTATTATAGACAGTGTTCACTGTAGACACTATCCACTAAATACAGTGTTCACTATACACTGGTCAAAATAGGCAGTGTTTACTTTAAACAATATTTACTACAGACAATGTTTACTTTAGAAAGTATTCACTTTAAACGATATTTACTATAGACAGTTTCCACTTCATACAGTGTTCACTATAGACTGTTCACTTTAGACAGTATTCACTAAAGAAAGTGTTCAATATAGAGTGTCCTTTATAGACAGTGTTCACTATAGATAGTAATCAATAGTCTCAATAGACAGTGTCCTAAATAGTGTTCACTATAGACAGTGTTCAATATAGAGTGTCCTTTATAGACAGTGTTCACTATAAATAGTAAACAATAGTCTCAATAGACAGTGTCCTAAATAGTGTTCACTATAGATGGTTCACTATAGACTGTCCTTTATGGAGAGAGAAACGTCAACAATAAACAATATGGCCTCTGTTGACAGATGTCTCCATGTTGTGGTATCCACTCCCCTACAAATTCTTAACAAGTCCAGGTTCACAGAAGACGCGGACCTTAAGTGGAGTGTAACATTACTCATATCCTGGCAAATATACGGGCCTGTTATGGTCTCATCCCCACAACATCCACGGCTATCTGTCACAATGAAAACCACTTTCAACTGGCGCCTCTAATTCTTTTAAATGTCAATTGACAACATCAGTAGATGATTTTTTTCTAGGGAAGTTATCCCATAAAATTACCTCAAAATCAGTGTAACTTGTTTAAGAGTCGTAAGGTTATTTACATATTTATAGACATTGACATCGTCGGTAAAGTAATTTTAAATCTCTTAATTCAAATTCAAACACCTTTCATTATCTAAATTTGGTGTACATAGATAGAAGCTATCTGATTTCTGAAAATAATCCTATTCAAAATGTCTTCTGAGCCCTGCTTCATAATAGCCATTTCTATCAGCACATGGCACTACGTGTAGGTAATAGAACCACAATAGCTTAGAACTGATTAGGCTGAGACATGCAACAGACCAAGTCTCCAGTTACACTCCTATCTTCTGTCTCACTCAATCTAAGACATCTGTAGTTGGTGGAAAAGTGGGGGTTTTCTCTCTGACAAGTAACATTGTTATATACCGAAAATACAAAGACATCCCTACAAAGATCTCACAGTGGGCTGTATCAGACAAAAACTACTGGGCAAGTCATCATGATCACGGACTTTAAAAATAAGGCATCTATTGTTTTATACAACAGTTGTGATTGTAAGTGTTTTTTCACAATTTAGAGAAAGGGGAGATATTGTAATTTTTTTTTATCACAATTCATAGAAAGAGGAGATATTTGTAAGTTTTTTATCACAATTTAGAGAGTGGGGAGATATATAAGTCAGAGTTGTAAATGTCTGTATTCGGCTGTATCATCACAAACTTTGCACAGCCCGACTAAACAAAAATGCTGTGGGCTTAAACTGTGGGCTGGAACTGCGGGCAGACAAGTTGCGGCTGTGACATTATTGAGAGTTATTTGACGACCAGCATTCAAACAGTGCAACATGTGACTTCCTTCCACTAATTGTCACCAATTGAATAATTCTCAAAATGATGCTGGTCTCCTCCGTCAGTGCTGGCAGCAGCCTACTGATACAACCAATAATATGTAGCATCAATTTGGCACCAGCTGTTGAAATGTCAGGCCTGTACCATGACAAAGGACGGCCACAGACTGGCTCTATCATTATTATACTGGTTTTGGAAAATGGAAAATATGAAACACATCCGACTCCACAGATAATGGCACAATAACATGTGTTAGTCTTTACACTGTAGTAAATTGGCCGATCATTGTCCACTTACAAATCTACTGTGACGGACCAGTAGGAAAAACTCGGCTCAACTGCTCTAATGACTAATTTACACACAAACAGGAAAATTGCATTTTATGAGCAGTAAAATACTTCCAACTTTTTTAAATGAAATGTATATGTTCCAACTTCTCACAAAACCAGACACACCAGTGTAACTTACATGTACTTTAACCGCTGAATAGTACAGTAAAAAGGGTTTTATTTTAAATGTGTTTTTTAAAATAATTTGTTATCAACCTTTTTATATGTTACAACACAGCCAGAAGCAACGATCTTCTCTGCTGAACATACAGCATAGTAACAATTAAATGCAGAGTTTTAATACAACATTTACAATGTAATGTAAGACTGGAACATAATACCAGAATAGTTTACAATGTAATGTTGGGTTAAATAGTCAAAGAATAATTATAATGTAGCACAAAGATGGAAATTTACAATGTAATTCAGGGTTGGAATATATACCAGACCATTTACAATACAGGGCTCCGACGTAATACCAGATTTACAATGTAATGTATAGGGCTTCTGAACAATTCACAGAACACTACAACGTAACACCCATGGCTGAAAGGTAATACCAGAATATATATTTACAATGTAATTCAGAAAATATAATTTTTACAATACAGGGCTCAGATATATAAAACCAGATTTATGATGTAATATATAGGGCTTCTGAACAATTCAAAA